GGGCTGCCTATTAGACCTTCTGACTACATTTCATAGATTTGTAGATTATAAGGCCGGAAGGGACCTTCAAAGATCATTGGGTCCAGCCCCCTGCACCAAGTGGGAAAGATAACTCTGGGTCAGATGACCCCAGCACGGTGACTGTCTAGTGTGCTCTTGAAAATTTCCAGGGTAGGCGATTGCACCACCTCTGGAGGAAGCTTGTTTCACAGTCTGAACACCCTGACTGTGAAGAAGTTTTTTCTAATGTTGAGCCTGAATCAGTCTTCCAGGAGTTTGTGGCCATTACTCCTGGTTTTCCCCTCGGTTGCCCTGATGAACAGTTGCTCACCGATCCCCTGATGTTTTCCCCTAGTGTAGCGGTTAGCTACTACCAGGTCCCCTCTCAGCCTTCTTTTCTTCAGGCTGAAGAGTCCCAGATCCCTCAGTCTTTCCTTGTATGTCTTGCCTTTTAAGACACTGAGCATACAGGTGGCTCTTTGGACTCTCTCAAGCTTGTCCATGTCCTTGTTAAAGTGTGGGACCCAGAACTGGACACAGTACTTCCAGCTGCGGTCTCATCAGTGCTGAGCAGAGCAGAGCAGAAGAATCACCTCCTTGGTTGTGCTAGAGATGCATCAATTAATGCATGCCAGAGTATTATTTAAATTATATGTTGTTTGGTTCCTGTTTACAGCTATCTAACTAGCTGGAGGGCAGAGCCAGAAGTGACAATTTTCACCTGTTCTGGCTACAGAAAGCTGTCTGTGACCAAACACAAGTGCAGACAGCTTCAAAAATGGCCAGTTAGGTGAAAATCTGAACCCTCATTGCATGAGGGGTCAGATATAGACATTTCAAAACAGAGTGTCTTCTGTAACTTCTGTCTGCACTGCCTCCCAGCCTGTCACTGTTTTCAGAATGGGAGGAGGGACAGGGAGCAGAGTGAGTTCAGTCTGTGGGTTTTTCAGCCCCCACTGATATACCAACAGTGAACTTCTGTTTGGTCCGGGAGATTGTTGTAACTCAGAATGCTTCCTGCAAAGTGTTCTGTTACAGTGGGGAGTTGCACTTCTGTCTGAACCCAGTGTTAAGTGAGTTTCACTTTCCTTTCACTGAACTGTTTAGGATGGATTATATTTGTTTTCTACCACTGGCTGCTTGCATTGTGTTTAGTGTTTTATACATGAAGCATTTATCTCATTGAAACTTGCCATGGAAGGTGTGCAGTACTTCTGTGCAGTATTTTTAAGCTACATTATAAATATTTGTATTATAGCTGATAAAATTACAGTTTATGGCTACATGCTACCTCTTTCCTGTAACTGTAGCCATATATTACAGATCAGTAAAACTTTATTTGGTATAGCTTTTTCTGTTTGAACTGTGTCTCCAAATGCTTTGCAGAATTCAGTAACAGAAAAAAAAATAGCATATAGAAATTACAGAAAGTGTGATAAGGATGACCTGGGCCAAATTCTGTTCCTCCTACATATGCAAATAGTTCCTTGCATCCTGCTCTAATTACGGTCTCATACAGGTTCTCCTGGGAGCGTCACTGTTCTCTTAGGAGAAACAGGAGAAACCATGTGTCTACAGATGCTCAGGCTTTTTATCCCAATGTAAAAATAGTCACTCCAGGCAAAAAAATAACCTGGGAACAATCACAGTTAAATCATTTGCAAGAGAGTTTCTTTTTGTAGAATGAATGTCTGTACAACACAGGCTGACGATGGGCAGTCTGGGTTAGCCAATTAGGGCTGCCATATGCACTGCTGCCATCTGTTGCCAGGCAGACTGAAGGAGTCCACAGAACATAGTGTGGGCACAGGGTCCTTCCCTGGCTGCACAGTGTCAGCATTGCAAGCTCTCCACTAATCAGGGCCTCGGTATTCAAATGTCTGTACACACAGCTCTGAGTAAGTTTTTCTACCATGAGACCAAACCTGGGATAGTCTCCCAGATAATTTGAATGTGTTTGTGTAGCCTAAGATCAATAACAAACATCCCTTGACTTCATTGGAAGCCAAATCAGACCAGTTAGTTTAACCAGTACTTGCAGATGTAAAGTAAGATTTTGAACCAGTAGTGTGGTAAAATTAAAGTAGTCAAATATATGGCCAAATAAAAAGCCAAATTATGGCCTGGACCTGTGAGTGCAAAGGATGAAGGGAGTTTAAGGTTCTTTGAGTCACAGTCTCTCCCTCCCAAACTGCTTCTTGCACTGAGCAATTGTAAGCTGATGATCTAGCCCAAAGAAGTAAACTGAGAAACATCAAGGTTTCAAGTGATCAGGAGTTATCTTAGTAATGTTGAGATATTTACTACTTTATTCTGGTTAGAGTATGCATGTGAAATAGTTTGATGACATAATTTTATAAAACAATGATAATAGGTTTTGGTCACTACAGTTTATATATAGTTTTTAGGGAATGTTTACTAGACAAAAAGAAAAATCTGTTTCTTTCATTAACTGTATGAAAATATAATAGACTTTTAAAAATTAATTGTTTGTTTAGCTCCATCCTTTTCATGGAAAAATCTTCACTGGTATATTTAGTGCTTAGTCAGTGTATTTACTGTGCTGCTACAGCTTGAGCAATTTTTTCTTGGTTGTAACCAATTGAAGATTGAATATTGTTGAAAACATTTCTTCTTCTTTTAACTGAATCGGTGACTATTATTTGTAACAAGCATAATGTTATATAGCACTAAAACAGTCATTTTGACATTACTCTGAATTGCTTAAGACAGATATACAGTAGGTTCCATCCAAGTATTCAGCACATGAGACAGTTTATTTAAACACTGTAAACAAGGCACAGGTCAAAGAATAATCAAAACAGTTTGTAAACCCCCTGTAAGTCGTAGATGATATTATCATGTTATTTAAGAAATGTTTTCATATTAGAAATGTAACTAGAAATGAACAAATTATGATAAAAACTGTGCTGTTAAAGGGTCAAAATTCAGACTCAGTAGCCCAGTCGTATAACCTCAAAATACTTTTATATACTACCGTGAGCAGATCTAGGATTTCAAAAAAAGGGGTACAACAGATGTTGGCATCACAGCTTGAACATAGAGGAGCTGGGGCCAGCACTGCTGGAGCTCCCAGACCAGCACTGGACACCTCAAGGGTGAGCAGGTATCAGGTGCAAGAAAGGGGCACCTGCCTGCCACCTCTGTCCCCTGGTGAGCCCAGTACCCTGCATAGCCAATACTCATACCCCCTGGCTGGAGCAGGCCAGGAGCAGCCTCCCACCATATTATTCAGTTTAAGATCAAAACAAAACCAACTTTATTTGAAGGTCCACAAGTTTGTTAGATTATATAAGTAAGCAAACTCATGCACCTTTAGATAAAGATGGTTATCAAGAATATTAAAAAGGAGAGAGGGTCATTAATGTCTGTGGAGTGAAGAGGTTAGAAGGAATCAGGTACATTGTAATGAGCAGGGATCCGGGTTTTCTGTTTCTCATGGAAAAATGGAGTAAACTGTAGATTTTAACTTTTACAGGAGGCAAACATGGATTTCTCATTTTACCAGACAAACCTGTGGATTTTTCAATTATGCAATAAGCTCCCTGCAGGCTGTCAGAGTTCCAGCCTGCAGGGAGCTGAGAGGGAGCGGGAGGAAGGTGATGAGACAGGGGGCGCCACATACATGTACATGCACATGGCCCAAGGCAGCCTGAAGAGCAGCTCTAGCAGGTAAATGGGGGGAGGTGGAGAGGGGGATTGAGGACACTGTAGTGGGGGAGGGAGGGAGTTGGGTGGACCTGGGGTTGCTGCCCAGCCAGGTGGTGCTTGGGCCTTGGGGCCCAGGGCCACAATGTGTGGCTGCAGGGCCCCAGTGGGGAGCAGGATGAGACCGTGGGTGGCTTGTCCAGGGGAGGGCCGACTCCCCCCTGCCGCACACACTTCTGAGGTGCAGGTGTTATACACTAATTGCCAATTGCTCAAAAGATGAGTGAGACCTTATAAGGTCAGCCGGAGCCTGGCACCACTCAGCCCCAGCAGTCCCAGCTCCCAGACAGCATGCAGAGTCCTGCCGAGCCGCGCTGCAGCTGTACCATGGGGCAGCTGCCACACAGATGCCAGGTGGTGGGGGGGGGCAATCCCTGCTGCCCCCCACTACCCCGTGCTGTGCAGGGGGGCTCTGCCATGACCCTCAGAGGCACTAATTGCCTTTTTTTTTGAAGTGCCAAGAGGCTGGGGCTGGGCAGGGGGATGGGGCCAGACAGGACAGCCATGGCAGCTTTTCCAGCGGGTTCCCG